TCAATCCTATGCCCAATTTCAATTTCTCTCCTTTTCTCTCACACTCCTATAGACATACATATACAATGCTATTAAAAAAGCTCATGGTGCAAACTACAGGTCTCAAAAGTGTGAACTAATTGGAATAGCTAGGTATGCTAGCCATCTGTAAAACAAATTGAATGATATATTTTTCATTTGATATATGATACATTCATAGTGGTTTTATACATAAAAGAAAATTACTTTTTACTACTGGTTCTAAGTAGATTTTTGACCATCCTATGGGGACCTTACATTTTTCTGAATTAAATTGTATATGTTATCTCAGTAAATAAGTCACAAGTACATCGAATTTCAAGTTGATCTGTCTGTAATTCATCTTTTGATTATCTTATGAGAATATTATACCTTTCCAGAATAAATTATACATGTTACCTACAAGATTATGTCATCCCAAATTCAAGGAAATCGGACTAAGTTTTTGTGCGATGCGTATACAGACAGTCAAGCAGACAGACAAACAAAAATTACCAAAATTGGTCATTTTTTATCTGTATCTATAGTAATATTAATTCCAGTAAGAATTTCAAAAACATATGTAATACAAATTTGATCCCTCTATTATTATTGTGTGCATTGATTTAATGAAAAAATTATTGAGGCAACATTATATTTCTTTATTACAAATACAAAGGAAAATGTGACAGATTAATATTTTAAAAAATGACTAAAACAGTCATAATTTCATTTTATTTACATTCAGAAACAAAATTTTACACAATTATAATATCAGACTTCATCAAAATAAATTAATCATGTTATGAAGATTTCTTTATAGTACTTTCATTTGATGTCACACTCAAATTAAAAGTCATAAAATAGTAATAATAAGAAATCCAAAAATATGTAACACCAATAGCACAATACACTGATGTTAACATTAACGGTAAAAATTGTAACGTCTTATCTATACCCCATGCAAAGTGTAAAACATTTTCATAAAAGCATAAAAGTACTAATCCATACAAGTAAAGACACTCAATAAAGTTCATCGGAAAACAGAAGAAATGTCGTCTTTTAGTCTTCATTTTAGGATTCTCATATAGCTTTGGGATATTGGTGAAGGCTATAGCAGTGTGCGTCATCAACATAAATATCTTTATCATTAAAAGATTCTTTGGATATAGTAATGGAAACAATGAGTAGTGACCAACAACGGACATTAATAGGAACAGCTTCGCATCGACATCTCCAAGTACAGACATAAAACTGGAACAATTAATAATCAATATTACTATAACAGCAATTTCAAACATTCATACTTTGGATTTAAAATACCTAGATGGTGCAATAGATGAATAAGTTAAGCCCTAGAAAACTTTATGTAGATCAAATTGGTAACATATTAAAAGACAAAATCCTAAACACCTGAAACTGAGTAATCAAGTATTCATAGACATTAGAGAATCGAGAGGTATGTAAAGTTCATACCATGAAATATATGATCTCTGCATATTGTTCTAGTAAATAGAAGTGAATTTATAAATAGAAAAAAATAACTCCATGATCTTAAAATTTCCTTAAAAAGTTCACACACTATGTGATTTTTATTCAAATATTATTGACAAAATAATATTTTTACAAATTAATTTCATTGAAATTATATTAGCTATATTTCAAAGATTACTAAAAGAAAAGGTAGAAATCATCTTATCAAAATAAATAAAAGTTATTTATTTTGTTGAAATCCTAAAAAAAATTAAAACAAAAAATAACTTTCTGGGCCTCCCTTCATTTTATGATTAGAATAAAATATCATACAGAAAAATTACCGGGTAAGGGACTACAACATGACAGATTTATAAAATAAAAAAAAAATCATTGACCTCAGTCAGTGACTTATTAATAACTGTTTTCATTTTTTAAATTTAATTATATGAATTTCTGAAAAAACTATGTTAAGAAATAATGCAATACAATGAGATTTTTATAATTATTTGAAAAAACCATTTTTTTTATTAACTACCAATTTCATGAGTGATTTATTGATATAATGACTTCAATAACATTTTTGTTGCACAAATGGTAACAGTTTTATGTATTGTAGTTTCACAAGAACTGCACAAATTTAATTGAGTTTGAATGTGTTCTGAGATTTGCTTTTACAGAAATGTAGTGTTCCTTTGCTATTAAAAAAAAAAGCACCATCTAAGTATTTACTATATTAATGTATCCATATAAAATTATACAATGGGTTCAAAACAATTACCTCAAAGGTATTAAAATTAATAAAATCGCTTTCTCGTGAACATGCCATCCAAACATAAAAGAACATGTAGCACATAATATTAAACACCTGAAATGGTAATTTCATTAACAATTTTTCCTTCTATTAAACTAAATAAATAGCTTATAGTACAATATTATTTATTATAAGTATGTGTAGTATATAAGATATTTTAATATGAACTAATGTTTAGAAAAATAAAAACGAGAAAATTGAACAATCCTTTTTTTTGTTTTTCTCCAATGTACAAATTACAAACAAGTTTAATTCAAAATTAAAAAACATGTTTTATTATTAGGTAGTTGAAAAAATACCTGATAAAATTAACACCCCTATATTTTCTATCAGCTCCTAGGTACCACATATGTGCTAATGCTGGTAACATAGTTACAAAAGTTAAAACAAATGTAACAGATGGTTTAATAGATGGGAGCACCACATGGTCGTACTCTTGTACCAATCCACTTGTCATGGAAGCCTCAACTTTATTTACTACGAACCCTGCTTTAATAACTGTGAAATGTTTTTAATAAAGAACATTATATCAACATGTAATCAAAAAATGTACATTGAATCATGATAAATCACTTACAGAAAGCTTGGATTAATTTATCCAAAAAATTATACAAAGCCCAGAAGTTTGGTGCCCAATAAGCATGGCAAAGACCTCTTTTAAATGGAAATAATCTAGACATAATCTGAAAGAAAAAAACTTTTTACAGTTTAATCACTCGCACAAAAATTTCAAAATTGGAAATAAAATTGATACAAAATAAACGAACATAAGTAACCATATTTTTATGGCACAACATATTTACCTGTGGTAGATGCATTATAAATGGTCCAAAGGAAATGCCAAAAACAAACAATACTATGGCAGACACCTTCAGTAAATTAGTAATGGAAAACGAATACCATGCTATGTGAACTCCATCTTTTGATGCGACAGTAAAACAATAGGCCCTCAACAAGTAAATAATATATGCAGGGGCAACATACAAAAATATATGTTTTAAGTTTAACAATATAGCAAACCAGAAAGCAGATTTTATGTAATTTCCCTGTAAAAACATAACACTAAAGTCATTTATGGTTTAAATTTAATAGATACATGTAAATATCGGGTACTCATCATATAGTATATCCACAAACCATTATCATGTTAGAAATTGATATTAGAAGAATTCCATAGAGAAATCCATTATACTGGAAATGTATATGGTCCACCATTAACAATCCCGGATTACTGGCTAATAACAAAACCATCAATTTCCCATTCAGGACTAAAGAAGCACATCTTTTTATTCCTATGAAATACACAATATCCAACACAACAACACTCAATCGCTGAAAAAGTATTGTCATTTCAGATTTATAGTTTAAATTATTTATTTCTAACATTTTAGGATCAAAAAATTTGGCAATATGTGATAGAACATATTCTAGCCAAGCAAAGAGCGGTGGATAATCTAACGTCCATTCTGATGTATTATCATAGTACCACTGATCTTTCGTAAGATTATAGGTTATAGCCAGCCAATTCCGATGTACCTCAAAATCCGTTGAATGACTGAAATGGTAAGTAATTACAGAAACTGTTTTAATTGGTAATTTGTGTACATACAGAAGTACTTACTAATCTGAACTTTTTTTATAAAAGCAAAAATTCCTGCCAAACAAAATTAGAATACTTACTACAAAGGAAAAAAGAAAAATTTTATGGCAGTCAAAATAAGAATTGTCTGAATTAACATTTTTTATTATCCTTTAGTAAATCACAGGTTTTGCATTGTAGTCAAATTGTATTATTATTATAGTTTATAATTGTATTAATGTAGCATATATATCGATAAGTTGATTCACATTCCCTTGGCAGGTCCACGTCAGATGAAAAAAGTATTATACTTCTTGCATTTCCAGTATTGGGATTAATGAAAAATGAAAACTGAAAGATCTGAAAGTACAAGATAAACTGAAAATTTATTACAAAATGCCTCTATAAAGTCGAAAACTAGTGAAAAGATACTAATGTCTGTAAATATCTAACTCGTACATGTTGAAAATAAATCAGTATTATGAATTGATATAGAAATGCAAATATTACATTTGAGGATATCTTTACACATGCACCGGCATTCGAACAGCTATAGAAATGGTTAGTGGTTACTATCACAGCCTATAGTAATAGTAATCTATGGTTCTGCCACAGAACACCTACACATACATGCTTCTACTATTAAGCAAAAAAGCATCCAAATAAGCATACGTGTTCTTATGTACGTATATAAGAAGTTATATATCTTTGGCATGAATTTTGGAAGTAGGATAACGCTGTCATGCTTATTAACTGTAAGCATCGTGAAAGTTAATTCAAACTTATCGAACGAGATACACAGTCTCCTTTCTACTTGGACTTGTTTTTCTTATGACGTCTGTAAAAAGACAAGAAGATATTACAATATAATTAATAAGCATGCTCCTAAGGTTGCTTGTTGATTATATTATTATCCTTACATTGTATACTTTTCTCATGTTATTTCATGTTAATACAAATGTCTAATGATGTACTTTACCAAAATTATCATCGATATTTTTTTGTACTTTATTTTTACCTTGAATTTACATAAAAATAGGGACACTATTATATTTGATAATAATTCTTGTTTTTGGTTGTAAAAAATAATGTTATAAATTGTTGAAAACATTTATATTAGGTTAAATGAAAAAAAACTAGCAACGGTAGGATTTGAACCTACGACTGCAAAGAGACTTGTGTCTTAAACCAGCGTCTTAAACGTTCAACAACTTTACCATTGAACACGGTGTTAAAAAATCGATTCTTAAAAAACGTAACGCTTTTGAGGTAACGCTCGCATTGAATTTCACTCCTCACAATTTTTTTATACTGGGAACCTTGTGTAAAATCAGTGGCGGCGCTACACCACTCGTGGACGTCGGCGACATCAGGTTTGCGAGGTCTCTTTTTAATAACTTGTAGGCAAAACTTTTTGCGAGGCCTCTTTTTAATAACTTGTAGGCAAAACTTTTTTGTTTGCGAGGCCCCTTCAGGCGCGAGGCCGTCGGCGGTCGCCGACGTCGCCGACGCCTAGCGCCGCCACTGTGTAAAATCGATTCTTAACCTTTTCAGCGCGCAATTTTAATATCACTTTCTACCGTCCCGTGCGCGGCTAATCTAGATGTGTTAATACAATGCTCATCCTAACTAAAAATTTTGTAAAATAAATTGAAATGTTTGGTTTTAAACAAAAAGAACACGTACTGCCAGCCAGTTTAAGTTCACTTTTCGATAAATTTATAGTTTTTTTTTTTAATTTGTCACATTATTTAAATTTAGACAAAAAATCATGAAAACGAGCTTATAGAAAATTAAATTCTCTACAAAATATCAAAAAAATATCTAAAATTAATGATATTTTAAGGGAATTGGTCATATTTCAGAAGGAATAAAGCTTTTAATGCTAAAAGTAATGATTGAATAGAGTTTATTAGTTTATTAATAAAATTATCTTGATGGATGTGAACTTCATAAAAAATCGAAAGAAACTTTTTTATGGAGAATTTAATTTCTTACAGGCCTGTTTTCATGATTTTTTATTTAAATTTAAATAGTATGATAAATTTTTAAAAGAATTATAATTTAATCGAAAAGTGAACTTAATTTGACTGGCAGCAGGTGTTTTTTTTTTGTTCAAAACAAAAAAAAAAACATTTTTATCGTAGTTTTTGTCAAAAGGAAAGATTTTTTAGGACGCTGGAAAAAAAAATTTTAACGACCACCCTAATAAATACAAATAAGAAGTAACGATAATTATCACTATTACTGCTGAACGATAAGCAATTTATATAATATTGTCGTATATAAACAAAAGTGTATGTACATTATTTTTTCTAATATCATATATAATAATCAAATAAGTTAAATGATGTAAATGTTGTGTAACTTAATAAAAGCATTTTTTAACTTTTTACTCAAGATGTTTTTTGAAATATGAATTTCAAAACTATAAATGTGTCAGGATCAAATAATGCTTCAGATAAGTACTTGATAAAAAAATGCTTTAAACTGATTTCAAATAGTACACAAACATTGTAAACCTGTCGCAAAGACAATTCACAAAAACAAAATTGTGAATAGCAGTGGAAATTTCATCATGATAATAAATAAGATTTACACACCTCAGAACTCTTATTCAACTCGTAAAGCTAAAATTTTTAACGAAAAATGGATGTAAATTTGGCCTAAATGACTTTATTAACCTAATAGTTACTATTTTCAGATGCATTCAGTTCACTAAGGGAGTTCAAGCTTATAATGATATTCTTTAATTAAAATATTAACCTTAACAGTTATCGTGAAATGTTCAAAATTCAATTTGAAAATTTGATCCTACGACTGAACCTTAAGATTTTTGACAAAAAAAATGTCATAATCATTCAGTAATTCATTTTAACTTTAATGAAAATGTATAATTTTATGAAGAATTAGACCAGTCTAATTTATGAACTTGTACCCATATCTCTAGCATTAAAAAGAATTCGGTCATCTAGAGAAGTTGACAAGAATATATGTACCTATTAAATTAATGTGTATCAACAAACATAGACGTTGACGTTACTGAGTGTATGTAATATTTGACAGACGTTTGATAATTTAACCCCCGTTGAATATATTATATGTAATCTGTGGATTTGACTATAAACAACTTATTTTTCCATGTTCGACAATTATAAAAAAATAAATTAATGAACTGCAAGTATGATCATATTCGACATTGTATAAATAATCGTGTCAATTAAACAGAAATGGCGATCCTTCATAGAGCACTGTTTACCTGGTTCATATTTTTGGTGTTTCTCATATTATTATGTCTACGATTAGAATCAAGAACACATTGGAATTGGTTTATAGTATTTATACCTATGTGGGTTTATGATAGTATATTGTTAATATATGTTTTGTTTCATATGATATCTCATTGTAAAAATGGTATTGATAGGTTTCGTAGTACAATAAATAAAAATGTATGGTACATAGCAGCCATTGGACTGAAAATGGCATCACAGATAATCATATGTATTAAACTTGAATATGCTAAAGTAAATTTACCCATATATGTTGTAATGACTCCTATTTGGATGCTATTACCAGTTATATGTGTTGAAGTTTTTCTGCATTTAATAAAACATTCAAGTGGTAGTAGCAGATATTAAACTTTATTATTACTGTTGTAGTTTTTTTATTTATTAGATAATGAAAGCATTTCAAGTGATTAAACATCTGTATTCATTAAGAAGCTTGTCACATGACATGCATAAGATAATTTTAAATTTGGCACATGTTCAGTGTCACGGCTATGTTTGTTCACGTCAGTGATAGAGTGAAGTATCTTGTGATGATATAACAATTCCACCAGAAGAAAATATCTATTTTTATGATGCCTTCTATACAAGATTTAACAAAAATCAAACATTTATCAGTAACAGAAGTGTCTGCGGGAAGTAATGCAGAATTGGAATGTAATAGTAATGACTACAATAACAATTTTATGTTTTGGCTTTTTGATGACAATAAAGTGATCGGTCCAGGAAATGAATATGATGATAAAAAGTATAAATACCAAGTTCTATCTGGGAGACTACACATAAAAGTAAGACAGTGGCAATTTGATACAAACTATTTATGATATATATATTGTAAATAAATAGGTAATGAAATTTTTCTTGTTTATAACAGCTATAAAATTACTATAAAACAAATTTACAGAATGTCTCGCCCCAAGAAGCCGGCCTTTATAAATGTGTGTCTAAGAGAGTTAATGGATCTGGGATTGATATTGGTGGAGTTCAAATGGTTGTGAAAGATTCATTTACAAGTGGTGATGCTATCAAACTTGTAGCTGTAATTTCATCAATACTTGTAATAATTATCTGTGCTCTAGTATATTATAAACTGAGAAAAAACTGGAGGAAATATGAAGGACGCAAAATTGTTCCAGGTTATTAAATACATAATAAAAAAATATACATAATATTAAAAGAACTTAGACTCTCACTTACTAATCATTCTCCCACAAGGTTAATCAATAGAACGTTTTACAACACTTTTTTTCCATATAATGATTAATCATGTATAGTTATGTAAATAATGTAACCACAAAACTAATTTTATCAATCAAATAGAATTGACTATCTACACCTATATTACATGTTTCTCATGCCATATTTTCAATATATAGGTTATTAGTTATCAATATTTTATAGACAAATGTTGATCAATTGCAAATTTTGATAATATGACAGTGGGTTCAACACAGTTATCAAATTATAACAAACTAACTTTAAGTTAGTTATGATTGTCTTATCATAACTAACTTAAACTTATGCCTACATGTAATAAAACAGTTGTAATTACTTGATGTTATAGATATAAACAAAATATTCCAATTATCTACTTACCATATGAGAGTAAGACTTTTTTTTATTAAGATTTGAAATAAGTAATGACATAGTATGAGGGTGCCTGATAGGCAATGCAAAACAGAAGGCAAATTTGATGTGAAATTCTCGACTTTTTTTACATTCTAATTTCAAGAATACATGAGCAATTTTTCTTTTATTGACATATAATAATAGAACTTTAGTCAACTTCAGCACCAAAGTAATTAATTTTCAAGTCCATACCATACTAATCTTGGTGCTATTTTGGTTCAGATCTTGGCAAAATCTTTTTTTAATCTCGATTCTGATTCTGTATTTTCACTCTCAGTTTCAATTCTGACCTTTGTTCTCAATTACAAAGCCAGTCCAAAGCTAGGATTATCTAATCCCGATTGTGTTCCTACTCATAGTTCCAAATCTAGCCTGATCCAATTCTCGGTTCCAATCTTATTCCAACTTATGGTGTCAAGCCTAGACCAGGTGTCGCTTTCAGTTCCAATCCTAATCCCATGTTCCATGTCAGTCCTGGACTCGCTCATTTCTGATTCAGTTGCTATCAAGCTCTCAATTCTGATACTGCTATATAACCCACTTCTAACACACAATTCTGTAGTACATCAACTTGATGTATCTCTTACAGTTTAATTGGCCATGTAAGCACCCTAAAAATGTTTTGTCACAAATTACAAAACATTACTCCACTATTTTTAATTAAATGTATTATACTCATATGTCTTCCAGAGACAAATACTTGCACAGTTTAAAAACGCTAAGCACACAAACAGAAAGAATAGTGACTGCTTTATACTATTTTAAGATTTTAGATATGAGGTTTATGGTACAGTATACAAAAATAATTCGTATTACATTAACATTAAAAATCCAGTTACAATATACAAGATTTTTATTTTGTATTTAATTTGATATTTGATACATGTCAAAGAAAGTGGAAATGTGTATTTACCGGTTTATACTTTTGTTTGATGTGTAAGTCATAGATTTATTTCCGTTTTGACTTTGTTTGTTCCTTTGTTCCCATTTCTTTTTTCTTAAACTATTAAATATTAAATGCATTAAATGAAATAGATTATGTATTATAGTTTCAATTTTAAGATTTAATTGTATTATCTGTACCATTATTTTTATATGCTGTTCCTAAACTTAATACTATTTAAACAAATTACATTATTACTAAATAAAATAAAATTGTAACTATGTTTGCAGTGGATGAAGTAAACGATGAGGATGGTGATGAGGTTTATAATCGTACTACCACATCAGTCAATGATCCGGTCCCAGGCCCAAGCAAAGCGACTTCTGATATCCTCTTATATGGAATTGATAATCAAGGCT